TTCATATAAATTTTTTCAAGGGATGCCATGTCCGCAAGGTTAATTATTGTACAATGTTATATTGTGATAGCATATTATTTATAATAATTATATTATAATTAATCAATAATGATTTAAAATTGTGTCAGACCAATCAAAATTTTAATTAAACTTAGTTAACTCTATATAATTTTAATTATAATGAAACAATTGTAAAATTATAATAAAAAATTATAAATGAAATACTTCATGTGAAGAAGCCATTGACAGGGCATTAGGATACAAAAACGTTGAAGAAGAAAGAAATAAAAAGGGAATGGCAATGTCAACTCTTTTTTCACAAAGCAACAAAAAAGGGTAAAAAAAGAAACTGAAAAGGAGATTTACTTGACCACTTGCTTTGAGTGACTTTTCCTTGAAAAAAGGCGGTAATGTTCCAAACAGAAAAACCAAGAAGGATTAACAGTGAAATCCTTTATCTATGGTGTTACTTGCATTTTTCATATTACTCATTGTCTATCGGCCCTAGTGGGTCAGAGGTGATTTTCATGAAACCCACACATTGTCTGCCACAATTTGTAATTTTGAACTGTGAAAACAGTTACAAAAAAGCAAATCCTTCCTTTTCCACGCATTTCATTGTCTCAAAATCCTTTTAACTCGCATTAGAATAGTTTCATGATCCAAAATTTTCGTCTTTGTTTTCATTTAACCATGAAATTTGGATTACAATGTACCCACTCCGGCAAAAGCTTCATAATGGCAATACTTTAATTTATAGTCGGAGAGTGTGTATCTCGTCACAGCAAGGGTTTTGAAATGCCAACAATTATATAATCTGTTGTGTTGTTAGATGATTTGTCGATAATACATTACTCTTAATTATAATGATTAAGAATTAATTTTCAACAATTTCAAATAAAAAAATTTGAAATTAATTATTGAGATGGTATTTTGTAACCCTTGTCTATGAGAAAATAATCAATGGCCGTATAGATTGCTTATATAAAGATCTCATTCATTACTCTATAGTCTATACAATTGACCCTCCAAAAGTTCATTGAAAATGCAATTGTTAATCTCTTTATCATCATTAACTTGCTCTTGTTCATATTATTGAGATTTTGATGCTTTCGTTTTAACTTATTCAGATATGATAATGTTATCTTTGCCTTTTCACCTTTACCCATTTTCATTTATAATCTTTTTTTTTTCACAATACTAATTAAACCAATATAATTTAACATTTGTTGCTGTATTATTCAGTAATTTTCAAAAAGTTTACTAGTTGAGTTGTGGTGAAAAGAATATTCTTATCCTCTTTTCTCAACAATCTCATTAACATATTGATCAAACTCAGATTTAAAACTTCAAAAGTGTTATCACACAATGAGATAGTATCATAGTCTTGTCAAATGATATAGACATTGATAGTTGATTATGATTAAAGGTTCATCACTTTATACCAATGATAATCCCAAAATATACACTCACAAAATAAGAAGCCAGCATGCAAGTGAGCTGGGAAGATGAAATACAGCAACACAATTTGTTTAAAAATTTGTGTGCAAAATGGATTGGATTCATCTTGTAGAAAAGCTCTCATTTGACGTTGAGCATGTGCAGGAACAAGAGACAAAGGGGGCCATATCAAAGACAACCTTCCTTTTTTTTCTTTCATCATGTTTGTGGCCCTTAAATCTTAATGGTGTCATCTCCCTGAGCCCACTCAGCCTGGGGAACCCACATGATTCTTCGGCTCACTCTTATCCTTTTGATGGAGTAAATAAATTAATCAACATCAGATTCAATCAATTGAGGGGAAAAAAAAGAATTAGTGAAATTAAAAATCTATATTCTGTCAATAGATCATGCGAAAACTGTTGGTTTATCCTTTTTGAATTATAATGATGTAGCATACATAAAATGAAAAAAGAATAGGTTATTAGATGTATGATGTATCGATTTTGGTTAAAAAGGCATGAGCTAATACTTTTCCACAAGGGAGCAATGGGGGCAAGACCCCCCATGGGCCGAAAAGTGTTTTGGGTTGAGACTGCCTGGCAAATTTTTTCAGTTGCGTGCCCGATGTGAAGCCATAGGTTATTGAATTGCCTATTTATTTTAGGCCATTCCTTTTTTTTTTTTCCTTATTATTATTTTTTATATTTTTGGTGACAATTTACTCTTACCCTTTATTATTAAGGGTTAATTTGATTCGATTTTATATTCATAAAATTTAAACTCGACTTGATTCAAAAAATTTTTTTTATTTTCATACTTCAGTCCGATCCGACCCAAAATTATATAAATTTTATCTGATCCAAATTAATAAAATATTTATTTTTAAATATAAAATATTATTTTTTAAATATAAATATTTAAATATATAATTATATATAAATTAATAATTTAAAATAATTAAAAAAATAACTTTTATATAATATCATATCGAATCAGGTTTATTTAAAATTCAAATCTAGTCCGATCTCAATTTTTTTTTAACATTACTCAATCTGATCCGATCTGAAATTCAATTAAAAAAAAATCAATCTTATAAAATTAGATCGAATCGAAACCGTTAAAAATAGATTGGGTTGCTAACCCTACTATTATTTTTCGCTAGGAAATTTGTTTTCTTGCTCAAAGATGGTAACAAAGAAAAGTTGTCAATATACTTGTATACATGAACCTGTATTTAGTCTAAATAATTCACTAATTTCTTTTCCAAGATGAATTCTTATAATATTAAAATTTAATTTCTTAAAACTTACAATTTTCATCCTCTATCATCTCAGATTTTGGCATTTAATTCTTTGTATAAAAAATATATATATACTTGGTATACGTACTATATTATTTGATTATACAAAATATGCATAAGCATTTGGTTGAATGATCTTTACTTTATCACGTCTTCATCAAACAGAGATGCAGTGAACTCTCTGATAAACGAAAAAATAAATAAAATAGAAGACATGATGCTGACACAAGGATGAGATAAGCAAAAGAGGGGAAAGTCGAGGGTGCGATGATGATGAGGTGGGTGGGGGCAATAGCACCAGTCCTGTCGAAAAGTTATAGGATTTGGAACAATGTAAATGGTGTTATACGATTGGAGGCTACTGTACTTCCATCTAATAAAATTTTTTAAATAAAAATTTAAAAATATGAAAAATTATTTATGTTTTAAAATAAATTAGTAACTCAATTAAAATTTATGAATTTATTAAATTTTTACTAACAGATTTTTTAAATTTATAAATAATCTATTTATTAAATAATAAAAGACTTTAAACTTGAGTGCTCATGCACTAAACATTCATCCCTTATCAATTTTACCAGCTCTCATTGGCATCTATCTGATAAATCTTTACCTTTCGTTTATTAAGATTTTACTGATTGGAACGTCCTTTTGGTGACCAATATGAGTTATTGAGCGTTTGAGCTCAAAGATATTGATACCTGTACATTTTATATTTATTAAATATTATTTTTTAAAAATAATTATATTAATCAACTTAACTAAATTTATCATGTACGTTCACATGTTAACATTTTTCAGGATTGAGCTATCTTGCCAGTTTTCCTTCACAGACGCCGGGAGGAAGAGATCCATATGGTCATCTACGTTTTCTTTAATAGCCTCGCAATCTGTCAAGCATGAGGTATCAGCCACCACTCATATTCACAGCCCTTTTTCTCTTTCCTGGGCTTCCTTTTTTATGTAGCCTCACTGAATGAGCCCAGTCCTTCTTTGTTTTTGATTGGGCTCTCATAAAGTGTAACTTAAAATGCCTCTGGAGTAATGCTGATGAAAATATGTACTTTCTCTGATTCGTAAAAATTATTGTTATTGTTTGATCTTGATTTTATTTTAAATAGATTATTAATTAAAGCATATAAAAAATACTTAGTTTAATAAAAATTTTAAAAAATCAATAGTCAAAATAAAAAAAAATAGTTGTTTTAACTTTTTTCCATCTATTTCTTCATGTCAATTTCAATTGTACAAAGTGACACAAGATTTTGAGTGCAGAGAACCATTTTTTCAGAAGCGTAAGAAGCTTTGTGAGCGATCTTAAAAACTCTTTGTGCATATGAAACCCTTGAGGGTTTTTGACACTGACCTATCATACTTGAAAGATAATTTTGATCTCTTATGATGGTTCAATTATTTATTGTGAGAATTTTTGATGGCATGTGGGCACAGCTGGAAAGGTCCATATGAACATGGTACGAAGAGCTTAGGTAAATAAATTGTCCTTTATTTTTTAACAATATATTTGGATTGAGGAGAGAAGAAAAAAATAAAAGTATAATAAATAAAATAAAATATTATTTGTTTTTTTTAATAAATATTTAATTTTAAAAAAATAAAAATTAAATAACTTTTAATTTCTCTTGTAAATTTAATTTTTTAATACTTTAATTTAGACAAAAAGTTAAGGTAACGAAGGTTGAAAAAATTTTTTTTATAAAAAAATTATTATATTCATCTTAGAAGAAAGGAGGATAATAATTGATGCTTGAAATAACGACAGATGTCATTATATATTTGATTAGAGAAATTATTAGTTGATTAGAAATTAATAAAGTGGCCCCATGAAAGTCCGGCCCATAATCATTGCCACGTTTCCAAATTTTTTTAACCACCGCATTGAAATTGTGTGAATTAAAAAAGATAATAATGATTTGTACTAATTAATTATAAACATGAAAATATGCATTTAAGAGAATAATATATCATATCATTTATCTCATAACAATATTTACGATTTGTGAGTTTTTACAAATTTTAAAACAAGTGTAGAAATAATAAATTATTACTTGTCTTAATTATTTTCATAAACAAATTATATTTACGTCGCATTTGGTTGGATTGAACAAAATAAAATAAAAATTTAAAAATAAATTATTTTTATTAAAAAGAAAGAAAAAAAAATGAATTTCACTTTATAGTAAAATTCGGTATATAAAAAATTAAAAATATATAAGCCCCGGAAAGTGCTCATCATCTATACTGTCATCTGTCAGCCTTTCCCTCTATCTCAGTTATAACTTAAAACTCTTCTCTTTTCTCTCTCCTTGGAATTTTGTTCTTCCGGTTTGTCTTTGATTTAGCAAACCCCCCCAATATAAAAAAAAAAATCTAGGGTTTGAATTTTGGGTTCAATGATTGAAGAAGCTCTCGGCGATTTTATTATTAATGTCTAAAAAAAAGCGGTGGAAATTTCTGTTACATAGAATAAGAGAGAGTGGTTGCAGAGATTAATGCGGTTTCTATTATTTTAATGCGATGCCGTTTTGAGAGCTTTTGCTGCTGCTGCTTAGGTATTGTTAGAAAGCTATTCTGTAATTCGATTTTTTGCTTTTCGGCTTAAATTTTCATCAATTTTGTTTTTCGTGCAACAATTTTACGATTGTTATTTTTTTTAAGGAAATTATTTGCAAATATAAGATTTTTTTATTTAAGTTAGTTTCTCAAATTATGAAAAATTTGATGGACGGAAAATTGAATTGAAGTCGAGTTCTCAAAAGTTAGTTCTAGCATTGAAGAATTTGTAGCGAGAATTTAGCTTTGCCAGGTTGATTTTTGAAAGTTTGAGCTGAGAATGCTAAAGAGGAAAGGAAAGAGTAATGAATTATAGGTCTACGAGGTTGTTACGTGTATTGATTGGAAATATTCTATTTACTACATTTGGTAGTTGTTTAAGTTACTATTAAATTGAAAAACCTTGATTCACCTTTTGTTCGCAGCAATTGCGATTTATGTTTTGGCTATTTTTGTGGTTAGGAATGGCGAATTTTTATGTGGTATTCGTGTTTGGGACCAGTTTGCCTGATTTTGTAGCAGAGGATTGAATGTCACCTAAGCTCCAGTGTGGCAACTAGGCGTCAGAACTTAAAATTGGTTGCATGTTGGGTGATGGGCACGAAATTAACTTAACAACTCTTTAATGGAAGGGATTATTAGGATTTCTTGTAAAAAAAGGGGGTTGCTCAAAATCAATTATTTTACATTTTTCAAATGAAGAATGTACATTTTTGTTTATATTCAAGCCGTGGAGTTTGCAATAGGTTAAGAAATGTTCAAACTAAACCAATTCCACTCAGTTTATTCATAACACTCAATTTGCCTGTGTGTCCTTCTAGGTCGTCATCTGTTCATGTGTGTCAACTTGTATAAGCGTACTACTCTTGCCCAACAGTTTAAACGAACATTTTTACTTTATCAATTTGCATAGCTTTTTCAGCCTTTTATTGTTTTCAATTTCTGTTCACCTATTAATGGTAGATCCAGATCAAATAAATGTAACTCCTGAGAACATCACCTAGTTTTTACTTTTTAAAGATATTCTATTCAAAGTGCTCTTATCTCTTCAATGAATATTTTGCTAAACTTTAGCAGTGTTGGTATATAATTTTTTATATGTTGTTGTTCCTCCTTTCGTTTCCTAGTAGTTTTTTTACTAAATATTCCCTTATCATTTTTGCTATGCTGATGATGCTTAGATGGTGTATCTCAGAGATGTGTTATACCTGATTGTTGTTGAGAATATTTGATAAGAAGCAATATTATAAGTCATATTCACTGATTATAAGTTTTCATTCTAAGACAAATTGAAATATGCACAGCGACTACTGTTGCTGGAGCATGGTTAACATATTTGGTTTTTGAATTTGAATCATTAGAGCTCATTGCAAGACAATAGTAAGATTGTATTTTTTGTCCTGTTTTCTAAACAAATATCTGCTTTATCTCGTTAAACATCAGGATCTAACTTTTGGAGAATCATATTATGTTCTCTTATAATGTGAATTTGTTACAATGGTCTTTCCTTCTGCAGAGCATTATCTTTTGACACTGATTGCAATAGATGTTATCGCAACTACTCTGCTCATTCAGTTCCAAGTTGTTGAGCATTGGCTATAAAATTCTGGAGATTTTCTCTTTGGGGACAGGGTGGGGAAGATTTTGGGATGCTGTAGTGAATAAGAAAAAAATTACCGCGCAAAATATCTCTACTTTGAATTTTTCCTTCTAGAATTTATTTTCATCTATAATCATTCCCCTTGTTCTTTGTATCCTATTGTTTGTCATGTATAACAAATCTTATCATAGGGGAATACATATTGTCTTATATAACAACAAATATTTTTGTGTACATTTCTAGTGTAGATTCTTCACTTATGCTTTAGAAAGTAATTAGTACTATTTTCCCCTCTTTCTATTTGTTGGTTCCTAATATTGATTGTGGGGAAATCCAAAAGCTTTAAGCATTATTGTTTAATAATTGTTGTTAATGCATTCCAGATTCTTTCCTCCTTGCTTGGTAATGCTACTGTGCAGAGAACCAACCTCAACAATGCCTTCTCTTCAACTTTTGCGGTTAACCAAGCAGGGCCGAAATCTTCTGGCCTCTAGGAGGTATTGATGTAATTTATTGGTGATAATAAATTTAAATAATATATTGACACTAGTGTATCTTAATTGAGTCAATTTATTTGTTGATAAATGATAAGAGTTGATGCTTCTTCCTAACTGATTTGATAATGATAACAACGATAGTTTACTTAGGGAAAAGTAGACTGAAATCATTGTTGTGTCTGATGCATTTGAATGCCAACTGTTGTTTTTATCATTGTTGTTGCTGATGTAAAAATTTACTTAGGGAAAAGTAGACTGAAATCAGGAGTGTATGTATCTTTCTATGGGTTAGCAACTGGAAGTTTTGATACATCCTTTTTTTTATATTGTACAACTAGAGTTTACATTACATGCCTGGGCTGAACCCCAACAAAATGAACTCGTTTTTAATGTTGCTACAATTGCTGGTTTTATACAGGCTTGAATTTGTCATTGAAAATTGTTTAAAATGTCAATCCTTGATAAGAAGATACCTACTACATGTTGCAGGTTCCAAGTTTAATTAAAAGAAGTTTGGTATAAATGTTTTCCAGCTTATTGTTTCAAATGCAGATATTGTTTGATTGTTGCCCTCTCTGTCTCTCTTGTTATTATATTATATAAAGGAATGTTTTACAGTGAAATGACAATACTTCAGGGTTTTGCTCCTTGTCTAGAGAGAACATGACCGGAAAATTTGTTTTAAGCATGAAATCCATCTTTATTAATTTTTGCATGGATCATGGTCCACTATTTTTTCCCCTTTTGCATGGTTTGCTGCTGCGCATGCATTATGCAAACATTACTAGACTCCTTTTTCCCCATAATTTCCATGCCCTGTCCCTAATTCTATGTTTCTTATATTTAACAGATGGTTGAATCAAGATTTAGGGAGCTTCTTGACCACTCTTTGATACTTCTGAAGAAGAAATTGCTGTTTGGTATACTTGATGATTTTGTCACAAAACAGCTTCCATATAATGTTACTTTGGGTTTGAGTTTATTATATGTCTTGGAACACATGGGGGACCGAGCCTTAATTTTGACTCTAGGTGAGATACTTGATTTTTGTAGTACTTTCTGGTTTCTCCCTCTCTCTCTCTGAAAGTGGTTAAACTATTTTTTAGGTGATCTTGCACATGCACTGCGGTTCCTGGCATCTGTTGTGTCTCAAAGCTTTTTAGCCTTTGTTGACATCCTGGAATTGCATAGAAAGTTCCTGGAGCTATCTGGAAGTATCAACCGAATTTATGAGCTTGAAGAGCTTCTTGATGCTGCTCAATCTTGTATATCTAATTTACTGTCTCTTAATGGTTGTTTATAACTTGCATTTCTTTTTTGCGTATTTCATTATTTTTGCTGAAACAATTGCATCAAAAGATTTAGTCAGATTCTCATAGTTACTAGCATTTCTTATGAGAACTTTCTTTTCTAATCCACTGGTGCTGAGTGTGAAAACTTTAGATAATTTGAATATACACATGTTTGGAGATTGAGGCTTTCTGTTGGTATCTTAGAGGGGTAATTCATAAATTATAACAATATAAATACATAGAAGTTAATGTACTTGTTTGATAAGGTGCCACCAAACTAATGAAGTTCTTATCCAAGTTGATTTAATTTAAACTGAAGTAGGTTACATTTACAGTTAGGTGTATCGCATGTGAGCTGCTTACAATGTGATACTGCATGTATTGTTCCGTACTTTGGAACATTTCAACAAAACCCAGAATACATCAGTTTGTCGGGCCTTACAAAAACGTGGGATTTGAAACGTAGGTTGTGTTTCAGTTTGAAGTACTTTTGCTCATAACATGTATCACGTGAGAAATTCTTTCTTGTGGTGTATTGCCCCGTATGAAGCTGATGTGTTTTGGCCATCATAAATATTTTTGTTGGTTAACCACTGCTTCATTATTTTATTAGGATCAACTTCCTTTTTTACTATCTTCTTTTCTCTTTCTATATTATTTATTTTAAGAATTAGTTGTCATCAAACCAGGGGATTTGAGCACTGATTACTTGTCACAGTCTCAGCGGACTGGTCTCTATGCTGAAGATGGTATTTCTTTTGCCAAGGTGGATATAATTACTCCAGCACAGAAGCTGTTGGCTAGGCAGTTGACATATGATGTAGTACCAGGAAAAAGCCTGCTTGTTACTGGTTGGTATAAGAATTTTATTGTTCGCCTTGATAGCTGATTTACATCTGACATGCCTTTAGTCTCTTAAGGTCCAAATGGGAGCGGAAAAAGTTCTGTTTTCAGAGTACTTCAAGGTCTCTGGCCCACTGTGAGTGGAAGACTTTATAAACCATCCCACCATTTTGATGAAAAGGCTGTATCGGGTTGTGGCATCTTCTATGTTCCTCAGGGACCGTATACTTGCTTGGGAACTTTAAGGGATCAAATCATATATCCTCTCTCGCGAGGAAGCAGAGCTGAGGGAGTTAAAGTTGTATGGAAAAGGTAACCTACTTGCAATAGTTGCATTGCTTTCCTTATCTTTTAAGTTTCTATTTTGGTATCTACTACTTACGGTTGAATGGTAATTTTTTTCTAATGATAGAACCATGAAAAAACAAATTGCTTCTATTGCCATGCTTTCAGATATTTCTGGCGGGTGAGTCAATTTGACTACTTTTCTGGACTCTCGAGTTATATGGTACAAAAGGAGGTGCAATTTAGATGTGCAGTGGTCTATTAAAGTTAGTTACAACAAGAAGAAAATGAGACTTTTCCCACTATGTAGGGGTTGACCATACGGCTCATATTGTGCTATCGTGCTCTGTTCAGGATCATATCCTCAATAGGCTTAGCAAAGATTGAGATCTTTTTTTATTTTTTAATTTTCATCCATTTCCTATCAGGTCTTCCTCTTTAGAGATGGCAATGGGTCTGGTAGGAGCAGTTTTTTGCTAATCCTGAACCTGACCTGATTTTTTATCCCTAATACTTGAATCCAACTTAACTTTTTATTATATTTTATACTCGAATTTAACCCAACCCAACCTGATATTATATAAAATCATAAACTATCCAATCGGACCTGTAATTAATAAAATATTATTTTTAATATAAATATTTTAAAATATAAATATAAAATTAAATAAATAATAAAAAAAATTTATACATATCCCTGGTCAAGGTGGGATGGATTTGCTTAAAACTCTACCCTTTTTTTTCCTTTTTTGTCTAGAACCCGACTTGAAATCCAACTTTAAAAAAAAATCGACCCTATAGGATCTGATAGGAATTCAATGGGTACAAGTTGGATTGTCAACCCTATTTCTCTTCCCCCGAAACTTAGTTGTTAACCAAAATTAGATTGAGTTGCCATGTTCCAAAAAAAATTGTGGAATTTGAGTAACTGATATTTGCTTTTTTTTTTTTTCTCTTGAGGATGATTTATCAAGGGACATGGTCACATGGACTATAATTAAGTTCAAAATGCTCAAATTTCTGTCCAGGGGTTTCGGATGTGAATGGTATCTGATATCTCTTACCATCATTAAGAATGACGTAACTGTTAAAAAGCACGGTAAATGACAAATCATTTCCAATGTCTATTGGTATCAAAATTACTGTTTTGTTTCTTCAATGAGTTCGCCAAAAATACCGTAATGAATTTTTTATGTTTTTGAGAATTGTGAACATTCAAAATTTCAGGTAAAAAATCGGCAGACACCATGAACATTCTTGATGCTTGTTTGAAAATTATTCTTGAAAATGTTCTATTGAATTATCTTTTGGAAAGAGAGGAAGTTGTGGGATGCTAATCTCAACTGGGAAGACATCCTCTCGCTTGGCGAACAGCAGAGATTAGGCATGGTGAGTTAAGCTAATCTTCTTGCACCTTGAACCCATGTTTGGACAACATGTTATTATTTATACCAGACAGATTTCTGTTGTTTGATATCAAACTTTCTGTTTTACCAAGCACGGTTATTCTTCCACAAGCCTAAATTTGGTATCCTTGATGAGTGCACAAAGTATGTACTGATCTCAATGTATTTTGTTTTTTTTTAAATAAAAAAAAAAAAAAACCTAACTAGTTGTCTAATTTACCTGGATATTCTTCCCGTGGCAGTGCCACAAGTGTCGATGTTGAGGAACAGCTTTATAGACTAGCAAAAGATCTTGATATAACTTTTATTACCTCATCACAGGCAAGTTTCAGATTTGGCGAGCATCTGGAATAACTAGTGAATTACAACTCTATTGTACCGCAATTGGTGCATTGGTCTTTGCGGCCTTAATGCTTTTTGCCGGTTGGTTCCATTATCACAAAGCGGCCCAAAATTGGCTTGGTTCCAAGATGTATTATTTGTTATTAATGTTATTAATATTCATTTATATTTTTATATTATTATATTTTAAAATTTAAAATATATTTATTTTGTTATAATTTATTTATTTTATTTGTTATATTTTATTTATTTTAATATTATATCTTATTATTATATCTATTTATATATTTAGTATAGTTTCACTGGATAGTATTATTGCAAAGTTTGTTGACTGATTTTTGTTAGAATTGTCATGTTTGGTGCACAAAATTCTGGTAGATAAGATAATATTATAAATAAGATTAAATTAAATTAATGTTATCTTATTTTATGTTTGATATGTATAAAGATTAAGATATAATAATTTATTTATTGATCAAATTTTTTTTTCTTAAAGTTTATATAATTTAAATTATTAATATAATTTTTAAAGATATAACAGAGTTTGTAAGTTTAATCTTATGGATTAAAAATAATTTTTTTTACTTTTGGATGATTGAATTATCTTATAATAAGAAGAGAATAATTTTTTTTATAATTTTATCTTTTTTAATTAGATACAAATCAAATATAATATAAAATTATTATCATATTATTTCATCTATTATTTTATGCATCAAACATGATTTTAATTAATTGGATAATAAAATATTTGGGATGCTTCTCATGGTTATCTGATGCACCACTTCCTAAGACAGACCCCTAGCAACCAATTTAGCACCAACTGTTGCACTTTTCAGTTGTCATTTTTCCTTCGCATTAATTGTTTTTTTGCTATCCTATTTCTTTCAGCGGACTGCTCTAATACCATTCCACTCTTTGGAGTTACGACTTGTTGATGGTGAGGGTAACTGGGAGCTTCGTTCAATCAAGCAATGAGTTTGCAACAATTAACGGTCTGGTTGTGCTCTGTACGATATATACAAGAACTGGGGGGCAACTTGAACCTGCTGTTTCATGGAATCAGTTAACGCAACCATGCATTGGATAAATCCTTTTATCATGCTCAGAACAAGGAGTAAGGCAAAGGTGGTACCAGGTGCCAGTAATATTTTAATTTCCATTTTGAAGAAAAATTCATTATTTTTTGTTGTATACCATAGGCTGTGGAGCCAAAAGGAGAAGCAAATTGGATCAGATTATTGCAAATATTGGTAGTTAGGAATTGGTAAATGACAACAGTCAAGTAATCATAATTTGTATAAGCTTAAAGTAACTTTCATGTACAGTTTTTTTTTTTTTTTTTCATATTTTTACCCCTTTTTATCGGGTAAAATCCGTGGCCCTTCATGCTGGAAGAATTGATTCCTAATTATTCTTGCCTTACGAATAAAATTCAAGGGAATAGAATAATATTATTTATGTTTTATCCCTGTATACGTCTTTGCATGCATCTTTTCCTTCATTTTGATTGTCTTTCCTTTTCTATGCCTCATATTTTAGCAAATATTTTCACTGTGTTTTCGTGTTTGTTTAATAATCTTTTTTTTTTTTTTGCGTTCAGTTATTAAGAATTGATACTGATAATTAAATTTAAAAATGTAATATTTTATTAATAGATGACATTATCGCTTGACTAATAATCTTTTCATTTCTTGAATTTAAGATTTCCATTTCCATCTCCCCTCAACTATTTGCACCAAGCTTAGGTTATCAATTCTGTTTCATAAGTGGATATTTCTTTGTCATTTTGTTGCATTATCTTGTGATTTTCTCTGCTTAATTTGAAGGGTCCTGTTAACAGTGTGCTAAAAGTACTTATACTGATAGAATTATTTTTATTTTAAATACGGTGATTAATTGTTATTGTTATGGTTTCTAACCTGTAAAATGAGGATGTTGCTTCAACAGAACCTCTAACTGACTATTTTGTAAAGCATTTATTAGCAAAATCTTTCCAGAGATACAAGCAGAGACAAGACACATAGAAGAAACAATGGGTGGATCGCTTTGACTGATCAATCATCTGTGTTGGTGCAAGGGCAGGAACATAACCCATCTTTTCGATAAAAAATCAAAGAAGATCCAACAAAGATTATTCAGGCCACCACCACCTTGTCACTTGGCAAAAGAAACATTGGAGTTTTAAAACCTGCATGTGCTAAATAATACTCAAATGGCTGGATATTCATTCTTGATTATAAATAAACATTGTAGGCTAACAAGTACATTTCACTATTACTACGATCCGCTATAATATATATGAAATTTTTAATTCATATTTATGGAATATTTTTGTAAAATAAAATTGTAAAACTTTTAAATCAAAACACATAATATTTTGTAAGTTAAATATAAAACTTTACAATCAGTATCAAAATAATTATTAGCTAAAAATGTGATATCTATACCGTAAAAATCACTCCTAGAATTACCTTAGAAAATGTGATAATTATACCATGAAAGCAATCCCCTCTAGACTTACCTTGAGTGGAAGCAATCCCCTTCCCAACTTGTTAACCACAACTTTTAACTTTTTTGATTTATAGTTTTATACTACTACTATTAAGCACCAAGCTGTGGGCAGCGAGGGATCATTTCTCTTGTGTATCTCCAAGGGATAACTTTGTCTTTTCCATGTACTTTTTTCCAGTTGTGAAGCATTCTAGACTCTAGAACAACAAAGTACCATAAAGATTAGATTTGTCTAAGATTTCACATCCACTTGTGTTTAAGTATTACGTAGTATACTTAAAAATGAATTCTTTCAACATGATTTTTGTTCACTTTCTAGACCAAAAGCTATTGTTGTAGAATTGATCAAGATTGCAACCTATCTACTCAAATCCTACATCAATCCTGTTAGATTGTGATTTTGGATGGTTTCTGACTAGTTATCAAAAAGAAAATCAAAATATCATATAAATATGCTAGCAAGTGGAACAACTGCAACTTTTGCAAGGGTCAGATTAGGATTTTCCAGCTCTTCATGATTAATAAAGGATTTATTCTAATTTAAAGCAAAATACAGAATCTCATAGGATCTTTCACTTCAGATTCGAATCCAATTGCCAACACAGAAAAGGCAAAACTATATGATTAATACTAATAAATTTTGGTGGTTGATTCACTTTCTTCCACTAAAAAGTATATTTGATCTCTCGTGTGGATAACATCATTCAGCAGCTTCCTTCAAAGCAAATGCCATTTTCCTTGCATTTATCTTTAGTCTTTGTGTGTGTGTGTGTGTGTCTATATATATATATATATATATATATCCTCTTAGTCTCAACTCAACCCAAAGAATCCTCATAGCAAAAGCAAAAGCTTTTTCGGAGGTAAATATTCACCAAATTAAGAATTCTTTCCTTCTTTCTTTCTGTTCAATGGGTGTTTCTCATTTCCTTTCCTCCCTTTGTTGTGAACTGAGAATCTTGCAAGCCAAAAACATAGAACCAAACTCCCCTGGAAACCTTTTTATCAGATACTATCTCCCTGCAGGAAACAACAAGAGAATTCGACTAAACAGCCAGAAGGTCTCCTCAAAGTCAGAGTTGATTATTTGGAATGAGTCCTTCTCTTTGGAATGCTCAGGAGCTGAAGAATCTGTCAACTACCTGAAGCAACAGACTGTAGTCTTTGAGCTCCGCTTGAAGAGCACATTGCCAATTCTTGGAAAAATGGGGAAGTCACAGCTTTTGGGCAGAGCTGAAATGCCATGGAAAGCCATTTTTGAATCACCAAACATGGAGATTGAGAAATATTGGCTTACAATGGTTTCTATGAATGATCGGGTTCTCCAAAATCTTAAGCCTCCTTCAATACAAATATCAATGAAATTAGTTCGAGGTCCAGCGGCCGTGGAAATAGAGAAGAACAAGAAGAAAAAAGAAAAGGCGAAGAACAACTGGGATGGCTGTGGATGCAAAGATATTGGCAGAGGGTGCAGCTGTGCAGATTATGAAATATTTGCACTAGCAGCTGCTATGGAGGGACTGTAGTCATAAAGCACTAAGGATACATATACATATATATATATATATATATGGAGTATTTTTTCTTTTTAATTTGTATTTTTGTTATTAAAATGTTAGAAGTAAGAGTAAAGCGAGAGATTGTATGCAACTCATTTGAAGAAGGAATTAGGTCAATTTCTTGAAGGTTCTTTGTCACGATGACAATTTTCTGGTGAAACAATTCTTTTCTGATTTAACCATTTATCTTTTTCAATACAAGAGTGTTATGGTTGGATCTAATTTTTATCCAAATCCCTTTCTCATCACTTGTAGTAAGTTCAAACCATTTGAACTTGTTTAAGCTTTAACTTTAATTATGAAAAATTATATCATCCATTTGAGTTTTTAAACTTAGCATTATTAACAAGGTGATATATATCATTAAGAATATTAAAAAATAAAAAATTAATATAAGAAAAGAAATATACTTATTATTTTTTAATTTTACTTGCAAAATTTAAAATTTTCACCATGGTTTATAAACAAAAAATTCTATAATAAACGTTATTTTACCAAAAAATGAAAAATATGAACGAGGAATTCTATGATAATTATTTTACTTGAAATACTTTTATTATAATTTTTTAATTGTTCAATTGTAACAAAAAATTATATATGATTCATTCTTATAAATATGGGCTTCACAAAAAAATTTAATAAATCTTAAATAATTTTAAATTAACTGTAATGTAATAATTATAATATATATACTTGTAAAAATTTAGAAATAAATATTCCAACTGCATAATTTTAGCTTCAAACCATCTCTTCCAGGGGAGGGGGAGTAAACTTTGGCTTTATTTAGATGGATAGTAAGATTGATTGTGATAAAATTAAAAATAATAATAAAAATTACTGTAGTTACGATTAAAAAAAATTATTATAATTATGATTAAAAAAATTAATGATAAATTTATGTTAATTTGATCTCATTGAAATTAATATTTAAATTCGATTAAATGTACGATAAGCTTAATTGTATTGTACCAAAAATACGATAAAATTCAAACAAAGACTTAAAAAGATCTATCCTCCAATATTAATTCACGGGGGACCAAGGCTAGTGTAGTTGAGATAGATTCATGTATAGATGTTTTGATGCACTTCTACGTCAATTACCCCTCATTAACTTTGGGTTTCTCTTTTCTATTTCTTATTATTATTTTTTTCAATCTGATTAAGGCGTGCATGTCTTTCATGACCTTGCAAAGTGTGGAGTTTGAGTGTTTGCTTAAATGCGTGTATCAAAAAGCCTAAAACTCAAAAAGGGAAATGCAACTTCATCTTTTTCATTTTTTCAAAGAAATATATATACTAGCTAGTTTTTGCACATGAGTGACGCACATATAATTTTTATTTTTAAAATTTTAATTTAATAAATAATTTTTTTTGGATATTATGATAATAATGACAAATATCAACAAATTAATTCTGATTTTGTTATAATATAAATAAAATTTGATAACTTTTTATACAATTTTGATTTCGATTGTTTTTGATAAATTTGATGACTTTTAATACAATTTTGATAAATTTTGATACAATTTTAGTAACATTTGATATTAGTTTAGTAATTTATGGTATAATTTTTGTAACCATCAATAAAAATGCGGTAATCTTTGACAAAATTTTGATAATTTTTTTATGTAATTTTGGTAATTTTTTGTATAATTTTGAGAACTTATGATATACTTTTGGTGATAATCAATAAAATTTGTACCATCATTTATCTAACAATACATTCTCATAGCAAAGTGCAAATTTCGTTCTAATATAAAATAATTTTTTTTATATAATAGCATTATAGCTTCACTCAAATTTAGAATTTTTTAACTTTTTGTTTTTATTGAATAGGTTTACGAAAGATTTATCCTAGTTTCTCAAGATGAAACTTTTAGCTTCGTTTATACTAGTAACAAGGTTCAATCCCTTACAACTTCAAGTATAAAAAAAAAGGTTATCAATGATTGACAATTAAATTATCATTGATTTATTATTATATTATTAGTGATTTACAATTGAGCTATCAATGATTTATTACTAAATTATCATTAATTTACTACTAGTTTATTAATGATTTACTACAAAATTATTGATAATTTATTTACTTATTGATGATATATTATAACGTTATAACTGATTTATTACTAATTTATCGATAATTTACTATAAAGTTATCAATGATTAACTAATTTATTACTAAATTATTACTGATTTAGAACTAAGTTATTAGTGATTTATTACTATTTTATTAGTGATTTACTACTGAACTATTAATAATTCACTACAAAATCGTCAATAATTTACTATTATATTATTATGCATTTATTATTATATTATCATTGATTTATTATTTAGTTTTGGTTATTTATTACAAAAATTATCACAGATTTATTGTTACATTATTTATGATTTACTACCAAGTTATTATTAATTTATATTAAATTATCTATTATTTATTATTAAGTTATCACTTATTAACTATTAAGTTATTGATAATTTACTATTAAGTTATTGATTTACTTTTAAGTTTCCAATAATTAATAATTAAATTGTCATTGATTTACTACTAAGTTATTTATAATTTATTTCTGAGTTTGTCAATTAATTACCATTAAACTGAAACTAATTTACTATTAAGTTATCACTAATTTACTATTAAATTATTATTAATTTATTACTAATTTATCAATTATTAAATACTAAGTTATCACTTATTTTTCATTAAGCTATTATTGATTTACTAATATGTTATTATAGATTTACAATTATGAAATATGGAGTTTAAAATTTTCACTAATAATATATGAGATAATTTTCTTTTTATATAACAATAATATTACTTCATTCAAATTTAGAATGTTTTACTAAATTTTTATTAAATAGATTCTTGATAGATTTATCTTAGTAGTGGCAGATCTTGACATTTGACTTTGAAAAAGCCAACTAAAATGTTATACATTTTTTTCATTTGTTATGTTATTAGGAGTGAGTATCAAATACAAATATAAGTTCAACACATATTTTCTCACTAAAAAAAAATTATATATTTTGATTATTGACTCCATATTTGACTACATACTTATGTTTATCACATATGTATCGAATATGGGTACTGAAAGGAAAATGAAGAATATGAGTAATTAATATAGTTCATTTGAAATTTTATTAAATAGTAAAAAATAAAAACAATCACAAAGATATAGGAAGATAACTACAATATTGGTTAAGAAGAAAAACAATACACCTTGGTTGAAGACTTGTAATCCTTTTTGTCCTTCGCCCCTAATCCAATGGCTAAGGAGACTTAATGAACATACAGAGGCTTTGGTTTCAAACTAGGACCTCTCCTCTTCATCCTAAGGATTATGCCTTCGTGTAGACACAAAAAAAAAAAAAAAAAAAGAAACAAAAAAGACTTGTAACATTTTTTAGAAGGCTAGAAAGTTAATTTGTTTTTTAAATTTACATGAGTGTGACCTAATATTTAATATTTGTGACAAATGGGTTTGTGAATAATAATGTGGGTGCAATAAATATATAAATAATAGTGTCGACAAAAAAAAAAGGACTTGTAACATTTTTTGGAAAGCTAGAAAGTTAATTTGTTTTTTAAATTTACATGAGTGTGACTTAATATTTAATATTTGTGACAAATGGGTTTGTGAATAATAATGTGGGTGCAATAAATATATAAATAATAATGTGATTTTAATTTTTCTTAAATTATAATGTATAAAATTAAGTTAAAAATTAAAAATAAAATTAAGAAAAAATAATTTTAATGTGAGAATTAATTTAATTTAATTTAAATTTATAAAAATAATTCTAGTGTGTAATATATATATATATATATATATGAAAGGATTTTCAAATTTTGGGAGGGTCATGCCCCCTAGCTATAATGACGGTTCGCCTCTATATCTTAGCCCTTAATATGAAAGTTATGGATTTGTTTATGCTAGTAATTGGAATTCAATCCATAATAACTTAAATTTAAAAAAGTTATCATTAATTTATTATTATATTGTCAGTGATTTATTACAAAGCCGTCAATGATTTATTTATAAATTATTAATAATTTACTATTAATTTATAAATGATTTACCATTAAATTATGAATGATTTTATTATTAAATTATTGATGATTTACTATAAATATATTAATGATTTATTATAAAGTTAAAATTGATTTACGACTAATTTATCAATAATTTACTACAAAGTTATCAATGATTAACTAATTTACTACTAAATTATATCACCGATTTACAATTAAATTATTAGTAATTTATTATTACGTTATTAATTATTTACTATTAAGTTATCAGTTTATTATTAAGTTATTAATAATTTACTATTAAATTATTATTGATTTACTATTTTATTATTATATATTTACAACTACGTTATCATTAATTTATTATTTAATTTTTGATTATTTATTATAAAATTATTATCGATTTATTACTAAATTATCCATAATTCATTATCAAGTTATCACTCATTCATATTAAATTATCTATGGTTTACTATTAAGTTATCACTAATTAACTTTTAAATTATCAATAATTTAATTACTATTAACTTATACTGATTTATTTTTAAATTTTTAATGATTAATTATTAAATTATTAATAATTACTACTAATTTATCATTAATTTACTACTAAATTATTTATGATTTACTATTATTAATTAATTATTATTAAACTTATTACTATCAATTAATTATTATTAAACGAAAATTCAATTACTATTAAGTTGTTATTAATTTACTATTAAGTTATCACTGAGTTATTACTAAGTTATTAATTATTAACTACTAAATTATCATTCATTTACTATTAAGTTATCACTTAATTAGTATTAAATTATCCATGATTTACTATTAAGTTATTGATGATTACTATCGATTATGCTTATTACTTTTAAGTTTTCAATGATTAATTATTAAGTTATCAACTATCTAAAGCTATGTTATC